AGGCAGGCAGGCAGGCAGGCAGTCAAATTCTGAGATACAAAAAGAAAAATGAACTAAAATTGAGATTTGTTTTAAGCTCCTGGGTCTGAAGAGAGAGGAGGAAATTGATGGGTCTGGAAAGAGTGCATTGAATTTTCCCACTGACATTTTGACAATGCATTTTGATATATGCTGCTCCTTTCTCTGAGGTGCTCCAGTTGCTCAACTCTGTACCAGCAAAAAATCTTAAAACCACAACCAAGGTTGTCAGAACTTCTTTGCCCAGAAGCATGCTGAGGGTCCACATCTTCCTTTCCCCCACCCATCAATAGTTGTGCAAAATTGTATGTTTCTTTTGACACCTTTTCCCCCTCAATGGATGTCCCCTCCCCACTCCCCTGTGTGTGCAAAGAAATCTTCATCCAAGCTGCCCCCACTCCCCAGGACCTCCCCACCAGCTTTGCTTTCATTTTGTTCTTCGAATCTGAGAAAATCATGGAAATATTCTCCATCTTAGGGCGGGTGCACTCTTGTGCAGGTTTGTGGAGAAAACAAGGCCTACAACTCCAAACACACACTGCCTAGCCATTCCTAAAGTTGTCGGCCTTTCCCTGTCCAACCACACAAGGAGTTGCACCGTTTGTCACCTGTGGCACTTTGTTCGTCAAAAACCTTTGGTTTCTTCCATGTTTAACGTAAGTTCCTTCTATTCAATGGAAACTTCCTCTCTCTCTCTCTCACTCCTCTCTCTGGATGCACGTCTTTTTACCTAATGTTGTCTAGCTTGGGTCTTCCCATCCTTTGGACACTTCTAAAGTGGTTCATATGCAACACAGGAGAAGCAGCAACCCTGCCCAGCCCCAAAAAGTTAAAAACTGTGGTGCACCGTTGAGCACGCCTGGCGTTCCATCCTCTAGAAACCATCGGAAGGGATTGTGTGTGGATTGCAGTCCCACTGCACTCGTGTTGCCTGCATTCACACAACGGCACAGAAGAGATCACGAGCTCACCTCTCTGCGGCTGGTCCCACCTTGCAACGCCCCAGGCCTGGCCCATGTTATGCCAGACTCGGCTAGCAACTGAATCACTTCACAAACAAGAACGTGCTGTGTGGCACCAGTCATCTTATGAGAACGATCCCATGGCATAAAGGATGGGGATTTCCAAAGAACAGAATGGCCTCCTGGGTTTGGTGGGGACCATCCCTTTATCTTGCTTAGCCTACCGGTTAATCTTGCCCTGCATGCCGACGTTCGCTGGACCAGACCAAAAGTGACGGGAAAGGAAATGTCTGAAATGGACACATGCATGCAGAAAATAAATGCAAAAATGATGGATGGAGTCAATGAAATATTTTAAATGGCAGCCTTTTCACAACCCCCTTTTAATCGGCACAGACAAGGGCAGAATCTGCTCCGTACAAAGACTGCGGATGCAGAGCTGTTTCTTATTGGCAAATGAGAGACACAAAATGTCGGAGAGGTTTTGCAAGCCGCTGCGTTCTTCCAGTGTTCTCCTTGGCCCCTGACCTCTCTGCTTCTCTCACCTCCTGGGAGGTCATCGGATGACCTGCTGTGACCTCACAACAGGTTTGGGCCCCATGGGGAAGTCCTAAAGGAGACTTGGGGAGTTTACAGCTGGGCTCCTGTGGGCAACTTTTGATGATCAGAGCACTGTCTGAACTGATCACTGGATCACAAGATGCTTCAGCACGTTTGCCATCCTCAATGAGATAGAAAATAAAATTGCATCTGGTTCTATTTGTCTTTCTCTCCAAAGAGAAGTGCATTCCAATGAAAAATTTCCATCTTTCTGGTGCTCTGCAGTCTCTCTAGATGCCCACGTTTAAACCCAACCCTAGAGAAAAAGAGGAACCAGTCCAAATCAAGAAGGACTGGCAGCTGGGAAGGGGGCAAAGTACAGGAGAGATGTGCAAGAGAATGGAAAACACACGCACCGTATCTTTAGCCATCTCTTGGTAATCAGGCACCATCAGAACCAACTCCAAAAGAAATTCATAGGAATGGAAGCCTTTTCCTTGAGGAGAGAGGACTTTAGGGGAATTTTGGTACGGCGTTACAGGAATGGCAGCTTATGGGAGCAGCTCAGAGACTTTTGATGCAAGAGACACTTGTGGGCTATGCTACTTTTGCTAGGTGTGCTTAGAGGCACTGAAAGGATTGGGCTTCTTGGCCAGACATGAACTCCAGTCAATTCCTTTCCATGCTGGTTTTCATCATCGACAGAGCTGTGCATCACCGTGGGCCTCGGGCGTCAGGAACGTGCTAGGACTGAGTGCCAGAGCAACATCGCCCAAGCGATGGTTGTCCAGCCAGTTAGAAAGGTCCCAGGTGATGGACACGGCCCCTTCTGCCAGAGTGCCTGGACAGCTGAGCTTGGCGGACACGTCACCCCAACTGGGTTAAGCTGGCCCTCCTCTGCTTCCTCTTCTCTTGGCCACCTCTTATATCGAGGGAGGACTGCATGTTTGCATTCATTCAGATTCGAAATTCCAAAAACAAGAATTCAGTGGTGGTCTGCGGTGTCAGGGGTTGCTCATGGCTGTCCCTGTACTCTGATTCCCTATTTTACAAGTCATAAATCACTGGATTCAGCAAGGATGCAAAACTTCAGCTCACGGCCTGGTGGAGAGTTCTGCAGTCTGCAGCCCACTCAACGCAAGGACCCTTGTAGTACCCGAAGCTCGTGGGCTAGGAATCACACCATGGAGCTCATAAAGGAGGGCCCTATTTATTTATTTTTTTTTTTGCGGGAAGGTGCTTATGGGGTTTGGTTCCGTTCTAGCAAGCAGAGGTAAGGATCATGATTTTGGTTTTTGTTTTCCCAATTTGGGGTGTGTGGCTGAGACAAGGGTAAGCCAAGCTAAGAAGTAAGCCAAGAAGGCCCTTTGATTTCAGAGGGAAAGGATGGGGTACAGTTTTGGTGACTGCCCCTAAAACAGATTTTGTAATGTTGGGGAAAGTGCAGCAAAGAGCAACTCAAGTGGGCCTAGAGCAAATCCCCAAAGAGAAAAGGTTACATCGACTGGAATTGCTTAACCCAGAAGAAAGGTAAGAAAGGAGACATGGGAGAGGTGTACAGAATTATGTATGGTGCAGGGAAAGTACTGGTCATGATGTAGGAGAGCCAGTGGCTGGGGAACATGGGTGGGAGGGTGCTTTTGCTCATGCCCTATGGGAAGGCTGCCCAGGGGCAGCTGGTTGGACAGCTCATTGGACTAGATGGACCCACGGGGCTCTTCCTGCATTCTGACCTCCCTGCTTAAAATCAAGGCAGTGGAACTATGCCTTACTCTGGCCAGCCTGTGAGCAGAAGAGCGTGAGAAGGTCCCCTCTGGATTGCTCAGGGGTCCATCCAGGCCTGCACTGGGTTCACACAGTGGGCAACCCACCTGCTTCTGGGAAGCCCACAAGCATGAGGTGGGTCTGTGATGGGGAAGCACGTGCCACGGGCGACACCCCAGCAACCAAGGCCTTCCATTCACTCTGCGGCTGTAAGTGGGAGAAAGAAGCAGGAGGAGGTGGGAGGGGCCTTCTTTTTTGCATGACCCCGCCCCCTATCCAATCCCAAGTGGAGACCTCTCTCTCCTTTCTGCTGCTGAAGCTTTACTCTGCGCCACATCTCTGCACGAACAATGCCTGGATGCTCAACACACTTAGGTGGGTTAGCCTGCAAGGTGATAGAGGGTGCAGGTGGGGGCCAGGAAAGGGAGCAGAAGGGGAAAGGTCGCTTCCTGCTGCAATCTAGCTGAGGCCGTGTCTGCTCGGAGGTGAGGCCCTGCCGGCTGAAGATGGGATGGATGTCCTCATGTCTTGGGAAAAGATCTGAATGACTTTCTCGGGGTGAACGGAGGTGAAACGGGGTGGCTACGGCTGACGGGAGGCGTGTGCTCGGGTGGGTGGTTGCAGAGTCAGTGGACAAATGGAAGATGGCCACGATCCATGGAAACAAAGAGTTGCATCGATGGAAATCGGGGGTGGGAGAAAGGGTGGTCTCACTGCCTTTTCCACCCGTTCCCAGCAGAGCAGCTGGGCAGCGCTGAGAGTTCGCACGGCGAGCCGCCCCTGGCCGTGACTCTCCCACGGGGCAAGCCGCGGGGAAGGGACCGCTGCCGGGTGGGGGAAGAGCAAGGTCCGTTCCCACCCTGCCAGGCTTCTTGGAGGCAAGAGAGTAAGTCCTGCCTTGGTGCAGCTTCCACCTAACACTGAGTTCGGTATTGCTCCGGGCTGGGAGCCCAAGGAGCGCCGTTAAAGCAGCATGACGGAGGCAAGCCACGTGGCTCCCCCGTCGGTTAACGGATGATATGCTCTGGGTGAAGGCAGAAGGGGAATCTGTGGACGAGGGAGCGCCACCGAAATGGTCCCCACGTCTGGGGTCCCTCCACAGAGAGGCCCCTCAGTCCTCGAGCCCTAGTTGCTCGGTGTCCGTAGGTTCTGCAGGCGAGCCTTCGAGGAGCCGAGAGTTGTTCCGGGGACTCCTCCAGACGGGCAATCAGAAACTTGCACTTGGTAAAGAGGATGTTCTTGACTGAGGCACGGCTTGGTTTTGATTTTGTTCTTGTGTGAATCCCCCCCAGGGAGTCCCCTGGTAGGGCAGTTCTCAGCTGTCTATGCTCATGAGGGTTATAACTTGTTCAAGTTTGTAGGCCAGCTTCTGCTTGCCAGCCTGGTCGTCTTGATCCAGGGCACCCAGGATCTGCGTAAGGAAAGGCACAGACAGTCGGAATAAAGCATCACTGGACCCGCTCGCCGTGTCAAACAGTGGGGACAATTGTGCTGTCACAGAGCAGCAGAGTTGGAAGGGGCCAGCGGGCCGCCAGGTCCAAGCTAAGCCATCCCTCCCAGAGGGCTGCCCAGGTGCCTCTGGAGGGCCTCCAGCGCAGGACAGCCCACGAGTGCCTAAGTCTTTGGTTCCATTGCCATCTTTTCCCAACGGTCAGGAAGTTCTTCCTGAAGTCCATCCAGAACCGGCTTCCTGGAACCTGAGACTGTTATGCTGCATCCCGCACTCTGGGATGATTGAGAAGAGGTCCTGCCCCCCGACCTGTCACCTCAGAAGCAGAAGAGCATCAAGGACCAATTCAGCACGGGCGTTAGTACTAGGGGTGTTGACGGGGTGCCCTGTATGGCCAGCTCCACTTCCCCAGGTGGCTGCTCCTTCCCCCTGGTCCTTCCACCTTTTCCAGACCATCAGCCTTTCCGTAGTCTCCTGGCTTCTGCCCATGATTCCTCCATTCCAAAGCATCGAGATACCTCTGCTAAGATTGAGCTACAGGAAGCAAGAGCTCAAATATGGGGGCATTGTTTGCTTCCACCCCACCAGTGAAACCCAATCCACAAGGCCATCTACTGAAGTGGATTCAAGCCTTGGTCGCAAGGTAGCCTCTGGTCCACTAGGGTGAGCTCGACGGAATTTGGGCTACCCTCTTTAAAGGAGGTTGAGTCCTGCCCACCGGCGCTTTGCTGGGGGAGATGGAGCCTGGGGTGTCAAATCGGTGGGTAAAACAATGTGCGTCCTGGGTGAGGATCAGGAAGATGGGCTTACACGTGCAGAAGCTGTTTGCAAATGCAACGGCCTTTCTAGGGAGGATTCCAGGCCCAGATGGCCAGCCTCCTAGTTGGAGTTGGGTGACAGCCAACTAGATGCTGTCAAAGACAGTTCACTTCTGTGATCATTGCCCAATAGATTTAGAATCAGGATTCGAAATCACTGATTTGGAATCAGTGAGAACCGAGTGGAAAGAAAAGAGGTGGGAATCAAAATTCAGCACTGGGAAAAGTTAACAGTCAGGGTATCATTTCTGTTGGCATTACTACCATCGTAATTATTTCATTTCTGTGCAATCCAAATAGTCAGAGCTCTCTGCGTGGTTTACAATCGCTCTTTTTTCTTGCCTTTTCCATAGTTCACAGAATTGGTACTTCTGGGTTTAGTGAAGGGAATGTGCAGAGCACTGAGGTCTCCTCACCCAGCCGCCTACTAACCCACTGGCAACTGAATCCTGCTGCTTCTGAGATTTCAATAGACATTGATCACGCTTACTTCAAGCAAAGCTATAGAACCAGAGGGACTAGACACTTGCTCTCAAGGAACAAGTCCAGGGATATATTTAGGAAGCCAACCTCCACAGCCCGTCTTGTCACAGAACACCACATACCACCATGGGCTCCCACAAGCACCCACTGGCCGCTCAGCACCTGCCACCACCGGGCTCCCTCTTGCGGCTTTCAAACATCTGACATTTACCGTATGTGGCTCTTCTGTGGAGCACATCCGGCTCAGCCCTGGTATACAGAAATTACTTCCAAGAGTTGACACATGAAACAAAGGTACAACATGAAACCATGTCCTATTTTTATTTCAGACTGGCACACAGAGAAATGTGGGATTTTCTTGTGCACAGACCCTGGAACAACCTTTCTGCAATCAGAGGAGCAGTGGCCACGATCCTGGGCTCTCTTCACCCTCCCCTCACTCACCTCCTCACTGTATTTGCCCACGTAGGAGTAGATCTCGGAGAGCGCACTCATGGTGTTGAACTCGTTCATGTGCATGCGCGACTGCTCAGCCAGGTAGGCATTCATGTCCTGGTCACTGATCGCGGGCATCTTGCCGATATCCGAGTAGTACCTGGAGGGGATCAAAGAGCCTGCTGAGTCTTGAGTCACATTTAGTGATCCAGTGGCCATGGACTGGAGCAGAGCCCTCTTGGAAGTGGCTCCACCCTTATGGCATCCGCTCCCCAGTTGGGGTCGGGGGTGTTCTGAAGAGCTTCCTGTTTTGCAAGCCTTTCGAGCCACCCTTTGGCTGCTGAACTCGGGGATCTGTGAGCACTCAGTCACAAAAAGTTGGGTACCGCTCCCATGTCACATGCGGCAGCGCGAACAACGGAAGGGGACGCCCCTTGTCCGGCAGTCATGTGGGGCACGCCCCGTATAAACACCGGGTGCCCTCACCAGGGACTCTGACTCCCCCCTGCAACAAAGCGGGCTGGGATCTGGGGAGCCGAGCCCCGGGAATCTGCTGGATTCCCACCCCCAAAATTCCTCACCCATTGTCCTCTGCATCTTCTCTAGGTGGCCACTATTGGCCATCTAGGTTTAGAACTGGGAAGGAGGGAAAGGGGGTGGGCTGGCTGGAATCAGCTTAACTTCTTGGGGCCGGTTTCCCCCACTCCCCACCTCCTGGCGTGCCCCTTTTCTCTCCCTTGTAGGCCCAACTGTGCCCCGGGGCAGTTGTGACGGGGGAGGGCAGGAACCTTGGGGCTGTGACTCCCCATCATCCACGGCCTTGCAGACAACACTGAGAGTTAACACAATCGCACCAGGCCTCACTTTCCTGGAAAACTTTTTCCAAGAGCTCTTGTTTCTATGGCAGTCTCTTCTAAATGCATCTATTTATTCTTTTTTATTCTCTCCATTAATATGCTGCTCTACATCCTCCAGGGATCACAAAAGGGCAAGTGTAACATTATGAAAAAATAAATACATTACAGTCAGAAAATTCCAAGGTAAGAGGTATAGAGCAATTATTCAACCAGTAAACAAAGCAGCACTTAAAAAAAAAAGAACATTACACTTTAAAATGACTGAGTAAACATTGCTGGCTTTTAAGAAGGCCTTGAAAACATGTTATTTTACTGTGGACCTGCTAAAATGATTGTTTTTTCCCTGTTTTTATTGCCGGCAGTGTTCTTTTTATTGTTATTTCTCTTGCATCCTTACCATTTTATGGTGTTTTTAACTTAATATCAGGCTGACTTTATGTGTCTTACAGTAGCATGTGATCTTGTGAGGGTTTCTACCCTGAAAAGTGGCCATGAAATATTCTAAGCCAATCCATAATCGTGTGTGTGTTTGTGTGCTGAAAAGGAAGCAGGGGAGGAAAGTTCTCATGGCTTGGTAGAACCATCCTGGGAATCAAACGATGTGGATTCTGCCGGATTGTAGACCCAGCTATGAGCTTGGATGGGTGGCTGGAGGAATCCAGACCTTGGGTCCATCTGTCCGGCATGTCGTCCACACAGTGGCCATCAGCACCTCCCGTGTCAGGTAAAGCCGTGGTTTACTTGTGCGTTCCTTTTATCTTCGCCGAGTCTCCCACACAGCAGCTTCGTGGGATGACACCAAGAAGGCTCTAAGTGGCACGGACGAGGGAGGAGCATGCCTGGTTCTCCACTTGCTGAACGTGGCTCCCATTCCAGGATGACAGTCATGAACTCGGAAGAGGGTCAGGGAGGGAGGAAAGGGGGCCGCAGAGCAGGTGGAGAGGAAAAGGCAGAAGAGGAACCTTTTGGTGGCAAGCAGAGGGTGTTCCAAGGTCTTTCCACCTGCCCTGCCCTCCAAGCTTGAGATGGACTCCGATTTCAGAGCAGCCATCCTCTCAGAATGTGCCCCAAATTCCATTCCTACCATTTCATCTGTTACTCTTAACTGTTTAAACTGTTGTGATGGGACAGAATAGAAAAGTTCAAACAAACAAACAAACAAACAAACAAATAAATTTGGACGCTAGGAAGCACTTCCTGACAGTCAGCACCCCGAGGGTGTGGAATGGGCTTCCCCGGGAGGTGGCTGAGGCCCCATCAGTGCGGGTGTTCAAGGATAGGCTGGACATGCACGTGGTGGGCATGTCATGAGCGGAGCCGGCTGGAGCCGGGGGTCAGACTAGATGGCCCGGGAGGCCCCTTCTGGCTCGCTCTGTTTCTATGTTTCTACGGCTGCCTCTAGCACTGGGCACGCCCCGCTCCAGCGCACAGCAGAAGTTCTGGGAAAACACCTGCTGGAGACCCTGCCAAGCCATCCATGCTGGAACTGCGGCGCTCTGGGAGCGATGGGCCCAGTCAAGGGAAGGCCCCTTCTCAAGTCGTGTGCAAGGCACTGTCCCTTTAAGGGAGCTGCTATTTCGGATGCTCTCCCTCTTCTGCCGCTCCACCAACATGAGGCAGGCCTTGGAGGCCAAGATTGGCGGAAGGTGATCAGTCACTGTCACCGGCAGCTGTGCTCTGCTGTCAACTGGTTAATTAGGCTCCGTCATTTACATTTTTAATTTCTTCAATTTGACATTTCGTGCACGCGCATGTACGCACAGACTCTTGCACAAAACACCCCTCTTGCCACAGCCACCGTGATTTCATAATTAGGGCGAGAGCAAGGAGAAGGGAGCCAGACTAGCTAACAGGTGGCTTGTTGTTGGCGCCGAAGCACCTGCCGGGTTCAGCCAGCAGTTCTCCGGGCCAGGAAGCCCTGCTGCTGGCACTGCGGCGGGGAGAGCGCGGACACGGGGAGAAGGACCTGGTGAATTCTGGACCCAGGCAGGGGCTGCAGGAAAGCCAGTCGTGGCGTCCCTCCACCAGTGGATGAAAACGGGCACCTGTCACCTTCTCGCTATGAAAGCACTCAGTGAAGAGCATCCATGCACCACACACAAAGCTCTGAAATGTTCTCTCGATGCATCTGGTCGTTGTTCTTGCAATCTCATGCCTGCGGCATCTCTGAGCTCAGCAGCGAGGCCCTCTGGAGCTCCAAGAGAAGGTCTCCCCCATCCTGCTACTAGAGATCTTTTCCGAGATGGCCACCCGAGACGTTCAACAGGTTCTCCATGTGCTCCAACCACTGACTGATGGTCCCTCCCGGAATTCCCGAAGTGACATAGATCAACATTGCAAATTCCATTCATTCCACGTTCCTGAGATCGTCACATGCCCTTCATCCTGTTGTCTGCTGACTGACATAAATGGGTTAGCACAAACGCATTCATATCCATTTCCATAAACTCACACATGCTGGATATTGACGCCCCTGCAAATGCAGGAATTGCTCCCCCCCAAAAAAAAGTAAATCTAAAATGTGTATTTTCATGCTTGGTCAAGGGGGAGAATGGCAAAAAGCAGGTTTTGACTGTTTTTAAAGAATTTTTCATATTTTTCGGCCACTGTTTTCTCTGGGAGCTCTCCATGGTCCTGGAGTCCGTGAGCAGGAGCCCAAGTTAGTGGAAAGGATAACCCATGACTGAATAAACTTATAGTTTCGTACTGTATTTTAAGAAGATAGTCCGGTGCAGCAGCAGGAGGGCCTTCCCTCTACAGACGTGGAGAATGTGGGAAAGCAGCCATGGTTCTCTTAAAGAAGGGCTTCAGAACCTCAGGACTGAGGGCAAGGACACCTAGCCCACCCAGCGGCCTGCATCGTGTTCCCCCATTGACCACCCCTCTGGTCCCACCCCTTTCCTTTGACCACCAGTCACTTGTGGGGTTTTCTGACTTTCCTGCAAGCTTTTCCTCGCTCTAAACGGTTGGAACGCGTTCACTAAGGGTGAGTGACGGACAGTAGGAGCTTTGAGCTAAAACATGCCGGTATTTTCGGCTTGATGCTTTTTGCCTTTGGCCTTGCCCGCCACTGGAATGCAGCCTCAGGAGGCATTGCAAAATGGAATATGATCCTTGGAGGTCCCACCTGCTGCTTTCCAGTGTCCCTTCCCACTGGTAGCACCCCAGGTCTCCGTCTAAGGACCGCTCTTTCAGCTTTCATCTCCTGCCTGAACTGCTCACCAACCCTCCCTCTGGATGGACCTGCCAACAAGAAGCATTAGTCCCACCTGCTTCATCGGAACACAAATTACAGGTGACATCCACAAGTACTGAAGGAGATGTGGGAATGTGCCAAAAATGATCATCTTCTGCCTTGAGCAGCATCTTTGGCAGGTGGCATCTAAGGAAACATGGCTAGGAGGCCACCGCTAGCAAAGTGATGGAAGGTCTCCCAGAGATTACTCCCAGTTTTCTCTGAGTGCGCAGAGGTATTTTAGCTGGGCTCCAGCCCAGGAGCAGCTGTTTTAGGAAACAGGATGGCTGATTGATAGGTCCCTAAAGCATCCCACTGAAAGACATCCACTCTCGTGACATAAATGCCCCATCCCACTGAGTTGAATGGGAGAATGAATGTTGGTATTACATCAGTTTCTAAGCAAATAATACCTGGACAGGGGGAGAAGTGATGGGTGTATTGTTGAATTAAAGATAGGGAAATCTGTGCCTTAAACTCATTGTAACGCCCACGATATCCCAGAGGAAAGGTAGTTATTCTTGAGAATTCTCACTTTTCTGAACTTTGTAATGGAGCTCTGCAATTCAAAGAGACACATGCAATGTGTCTGTAAATGAAAATAGCATCACAAATGCAGTCTGGTAGGAAAATAACTTGCAACAACACTAGTCTGTATCTTTTAAAGAGTTGCATCACAACATTTGATGCTGTGCTGATACCAAGGATAACTATGTATATATAGATTCAGGGAATGAAAGCTATTAATGGGAAGAGCAGGAATACTTTTCACTAAACTTTACCTCCAAGCTTGGCTTGGCTCACTCCCATTCTTGTGTACAACCTGCCTTTGGGATTGCAAACAGCATTTCTGAGTGATTTGCAAACTGAAACAAAAATTTCATCCTTCCCTTGTGTGAATGCGCTCAGTTCTCCCTGAAAACATGGAGGAAATGATCTGGCCCTTCACATTTCTTATATTTCCCAGAACCAAGTGGCTCTTCAGGTTTCCTGCTTACTCTCCATCGCATCATATGAAAACTAGCCAGGAGCTTTGAGGGAGGGAGTGGAACGTGCCTTATGCTTTAT